CACGGGACGGGCCCTGCGTGAGAATGTGGGCGGGGCACCCTCAAGGGGCGGGGCCAGACACGGGGGCGTGGTATAGAGAGGGGGCGTGGCTTTGGGTTTGGCAGCCGCCGCTGTCGTGGGCGTGGCTCCGGGCGGGGGTGGGCGCGGCCTCAAACGGGGCGCGGGCGTGACCTTTGAGGTGTAGGCGTGGCCTCGGTGCGGGCGTGGCCTCGGTGCGGGCGTGGCCTCGGTGCGGGCGTGGCCTCGGTGCGGGCGTGTCCCCGCGGTGCGATGGCGGCGAGGGGCGGCGGTGACAGTGTCGGTGTCGGAGCGGGGCGGGCGCTGCCGCCGCACTCGCCCTCGGGCCCGGTGCTGCAGACGGTGGAGATGCACACGGGCGGCGAGCCGCTGCGCATCATCCCGCGGCTGGAGGCGGCGGAGCGGGCGGCGGCGGCGGGCGGGCTGTCGCTGCTGTCGCTGCGGCGGGAGGTGGCGGCCGCGCAGGACCACGTGCGGCGGGCGCTGGTGCACGAGCCGCGCGGGCACGCCGGCATGTACGGGGCCGTGGTGGTGCGCGCCGGGGCGGCCGCGGAGGGCGCGCACCTGGCGGCGCTGTTCCTGCACGGCGCCGGCTACAGCGCCATGTGCGGACACGCCGTGATGGCCCTCGGGCGGTTCGCGCTCGACTACGGGCTGGTGCCGGAGCCCGCCCGCCCGGAGACCGCCGTCCGCCTGCGCTGCCCCTGCGGGCCCGTCACCGCCTTCGTGCCCTGGGACGGCCGGCGCAGCGGCAACCCCGTGCGCTTCCACAGCGTGCCCGCCTTCGCCGCCGCTACCGGTGGGAGCCTGGCCCGTTGCAGTGGGCTTTGGGGGGGCGGGGGCTGGTGGCCTGGCTGAGGGGCATGTGGCAGATCCCTCCCTGATTCTGATGCTCTTCAGAGGTTGTCGGGGTGGCATAAGGCATCACATGTATGGGAGCACCTACACGTCCCAACCACTGCCTTTGCGTGCAGCGAGGTTCCTTCACTCCGTATGCAAGCAAGCCCATGGCTCAGCACGGTTTGCCCTGCTCACCTCCCTCCCTTTCTCTGCTCAGACTTGGCCATTGACGTCCCTGGCCATGGGAAGGTGGTGGTTGACATCGGCTACGGCGGCACTTTCTATGCCTTCCTCAGCGCCGAGCAGCTGGGCCTTGATGTGCGCTCCTCAAAGACCAGAGACCTTGTCAGTGCAGCGAGTGCAGTGACAGAAGCGGTGAAGAAACAGGTATGGGGGAGCACCATGGCACCCCAGCACATTCCCTTCGAGGTGACTGCACCAGACTGAGACACTCAGGAGGGGGGGGAGTCCCATCCTTCCAGCCCCAGGGTGAATCTAAGAGTCCTTACAAGGACATAAGAAGGAGCTCCTGCTGCATCCATCTCTGTTACCGCAGAAGCAGAGGTGGAAATGCAGCAGTGTGGCCTTGTCCCCTTCCTCTGGTCTCTCATGGAAGCTGTACTGCACATGCTGCTGCTGTGTGTGACCCTCTCTGTGCTGTTCCCAGTTCAAACTTCATCACCCTGAAAGTGAAGACCTGGCTTTCCTCTACGGCACCATCCTGACAGATGGGAAAGATGCCTTTAGCGAGGAGCCCACCACCAACATCTGTGTGTTTGCAGATGAGCAGGTACAGAAACAGGCTCTCCTCAGGCACATGAGGCACCACCTTTGTCCCCTCTTACGTCCACTGCAGAGAAGAGGGACAGTTCTGCTGCTCGGTTTGGGCAGTGATTACTTTTTGCTACTGTCATGTCTCTGAAGAGCCAAGTGTCATTTCACACGTCCTGTTTTAATTCATAATGGCAGAAATACTTCTATGCATCTTAGGTGGTGACCTTTTAGAAAGGTTTATACCTACAAACCCTTTGATAGGAATGTCCCAGGGACAGGGTGGCCTTAGCCCCTCTGAGTCCTTTTGTTGTGATGCTGGTAAGCTTTCAAGTGCTCCCTAAATAGCCTCAATATTTATTAGATCATCCATCCCTATAAGTGTGCCAAAGCTAATCACAATCCAGAAGTACCCCAAACCTCCCGCTCTGATGTATCCGGGTTCTGCACAAAACCCTGGGCTAGAGGGATTTCCCCCAAGCACAGTATAAAGGTGCCAGAGAGATCTGAGGGGAGCCATATTGTTTTCTATTAAACTCCAGAAGAGTAGAGCTGGTTCATCATCTCCTCTGCACGTAGGTTGACCGAAGTCCGACAGGTTCGGGTGTGACAGCTCGCATTGCCCTGCAGTACCATAAGGGACTCATCCAGCTGAATCAGACCAGAACCTTCCGGAGCAGCACCACAGGCTCCTTGTTCACTGGGAAGGCAGTGAAGGCAAGTGGCTTGTGCTGGTCTTTCCCCCTGTCTCAAGGACTGCTGGAAAATTGCTGTTGCCTTGGCTCAGTGGGGAAGCAGAAAAGCCTTTCTGTTGCCTGGGGAAGAGCATGTGGAAAGGGGGAGGTGCCTGGGGGTCTTGCCCTCCCATAAACCTCATGCTTCAAGGATTTTAATTAGAAAAGCAAGTAACAGTAAGTCCTTGTTGTGTTGCGTGGCTGCTGCACACTTTGGGATGCACTTGGGCAGAGCACAGTGCTCCAAGAGGGGTGTCTGCATAAGTGCCAGGTAGCACTGGCATTTTCTGGGGTTGGGAGTGTGGAAACCTGCTGTCGCCTCTGTCCTGATCCTGATCCCTCTGCAGGAAGCCAAGTTTGGTGACTACAACGCTGTCGTTGTGGAAGTCTCAGGAGAAGCCTTTTACACTGGCACAGCCACCTTCACTGTCGAGGAGGAGGACCCACTCAAATACGGCTTCTTGTTCAAGTGACCCCAGCCGTGGGTGATGGCAAAGTCTCACTGGTGGTGCTGTGCTTCTCCTGCCCATAAATTTCTGTTCTTGCTGCGATATGCCAGAGCAACGGGAACAGCTTTGGGTGGTGTGACAGCATCTGCCGTGTTTCAAGATAACAAGCTGTGTTGCCCTGTTGTGATGAGCATATTGGGTGCGCTGTGATTAGCATAAACGGGCTGCTCTGAGAAGCCATAATATTTTTCTTCTTTTTTTTTTTCTTTTTTCCCCAGTAATTACTCACAGAAAACAGAGCTGATCTTGGAGAGCTGTCTTCAAAGTTACGTGCCTTCTCTATATCTGAAAATTATGAATTTCAAAGCCAGATTCGTATTAAATGCCAGCTGAAAACACTTCCTTTCTCCTCTTATTTTCCCTCCCAGAGCACATTTCCAGGATTCTGCTGTGTGTGTCATGGCTGTTGGTTTGAATCCTTGTTGTCTCCTGCTCAGCCAGCCATGCTGCTCTGTCTCATGCCCTGTCTTCCCTTCTTAGGCCTGTCCAGATACCTCCTTCCTCCATTACACCTGCTTCACTCCACCAGATCCCTCTTGCATCCCAGAGCTGGGGATGAATTTCCCACTGTCCCCACTGAGTGAGCGTGCCATGCTGCTTCCCTAAACCTTCCTCTCTGGCTTATCTCAGACCACTGGCTGCAAATACCCCATGGTTAACTTTCAACAGGAGCAGCTGTATTCGAAGGTCTGAGCTATTATGACCTTAGGTAATTATTTACTGATGATTTTGTCTCAGTCCAGGGGCAGCTTGTGCAGTGGAGTGCAATCAGTGTTTGCTTTGCCAGAGTCCTTCCAGAGAGGATTGCCAATGGAAAAACCAAACCAAACATTTGCAGTGGCAGGAGCAGAGCTTCAGACCACTCGTGGCCTGTCATTTCCACTGTGTCTCTGGACAAAGTGGTGCTTGTTTACTGAAGACACTTGTGGGAGTGTCTGGATGCACTTGTTAAAATGAGACATGAAAATGAGAATGATCATCTCCCAGGAGCTCTTGCAGCAGAAGGGAGAAAGTCATACTGGTGAGCTTGGAAAACACTGGCATCAAAACGCCTGGGAGGAATTTCTTCTGCCAAGTTGAAAATTATAACTTCGGAATGGGAATGAACAAAAATTCCCTCATTCAGAGAATGCTTGTGCTGCCAAGAGAGTTTTTATAGGACAGTGTTTGGAGCTCTTGCTCACAGCTTTCCTGTAACCCCTCAGTAAATCCTGTACAGCTTCTGGTCCTGAGGAGCAACAAGTGACATGGACAGCCTCCAGGCTTGCAGGAGCAAACTCCTCCATGTGTTTTCAGCTTCTGGGCTTCTCCCTTGTGATCAGCCCCCCAGCCTTCCTCACAGGAAAGAGCTGGGACAGCAAGTCACGAAGCCCAGCACAGGACGTTTTGAAGCTCTTCAGCCATTAATTGGGGTGCAGCCTTCATTAGCTATTCACTACCCCCATCCCTAGGAAACTTTTCAGGTAGAGGCAGGCAGCTCCAGCATGGCTGAAAGAGGGGGCACAGGGTCCTGTGCCCATGTGGGGGTCCCTGACTGGATTCCTCAACCCTACAGCTGGTGACGTCTCAACCCCCAGCCTGGAGAGTGGGAAGGGGAGCCCTCATCACTCTCTACAACTACCTGAAAGGAGGTTGTAGCCAGGTGGGGGTTGGTCTCTTTTCCCAGGCAACTATCAGCAACACAAGAGGGCATGGTCTTAAGCTGTGCCAGGGGAGGTTTAGGTTAGATATTAGAAAGAATTTCTTTACAGAGAGGGTAATCAGACATTGGAATGGGCTGCCCAGGGAGGTAGTGGATTCTCCGTCCCTGGAGGTTTTTAAGATGAGATTGGATGTGGCACTTAGTGCCATGGTCTAGCAACTGCAGTGGTAGTGGATCAAGGGTTGGATTTGATCTCGGAGGTCCCTTCCAACCTAGCTGATTCTATGATTCTATGAAGGGGGGTGGTCCCGGCCTCTGCCAGTGTCTGGGGGTAGCTGGTCCTTCATGATGGAGAGGGGACAGGAGGGGAGAGGGATGTGAGGGAAGATGGATGTGAGGGGAGAGGGATGTGAGCGGAGGGGGGGGTGACAGGATCTGGGAGTAGAAAAGGGTCTATGGGGACCCATCCCCGACTCTGGGATGGGAATGACGCCAGTGTGGGGTGAGGTGGTCCTGGCCTCTGCCAAAGTGTCTGGAGGTAGCTGGTCCTTCGTGATGGGCTGCGGGGCTGTACGGGGAGAGCAGCCAGGAGGGGAGAGGAGCTGACAGCGTCTGTGGGGGTCCCATCCCGGACTCTGGGATGGCGATGACGCTGGTTTGGGGTGAGGGGGGATCCCCGTCCGCAGCCCAGCCGTGATGCCCGGCATCCCTCGGCCCCCGTGCCCGGCTGTGGGGGCCCGGCCGGGCCGGGCGGGTTCCCCGGGCAACGGCGGCCGAGCGACGTCAGCGGCCGGCGGGGCCGGGAGCGGCGGGCGGGCGGCAGCGCCTCTGCAGCCGCGGCGGGGCCGGGGCATGAGGTGCGCATGGAGCCGGGAAACCTCTCCCGGGGCAGCGGCGGCGGCAACGAGAGCGGCGGGGCTGCGGCGGCGGCGGGGCTGGCCGGGTGGTCGGCGGCGGCGCTGGCCTCGCAGGCGGCCGCGCTGCTGCTCATCTTCGCCCTGTCGGCGCTGGGCAACGGGGCGGTGCTGCTGGTGATCGCCCGGCACCGGCAGCTCCGCACGGTCACCAACGCCTTCGTGCTGTCGCTGTCTCTGTCGGAGCTGCTGGGCGCCCTGCTCTGCCTGCCCCTGGCCTTCCTCAGCCTGCTCAGCCGCCCGCCCGGCGCTTGGCTCTTCGGGCAGCGCCTGTGCCTGGCCAGCGCCGCCCTGCACGCCGGGCTGGGCATCGCCGCCACGCTCACCATGGCCCTGCTCTCCTTCGACCGCTACTGTGCCATCGTGCGCCAGCCCCGGCACAAGATGGGCCGCCGCCGCGCTGCCCAGCTGCTGGCGGCCGTCTGGCTGTGCGCCCTGGCGCTGGCCGGGCCCTGGTACGGGCTGGCGGGCGAGGGGCATCGCGAAGCCCGTCCCGGCGCCTACCGCTGCGTCTACGTGCTGCCCTGGGGCTCCTCGCGGCTGGGGCCGCCCTACGGCGCGGCCCTCATCGTGCTCTGCTACCTCCTGCCCTTTGCCGTCATGTGCTTCTGCCACTTCAACATCTGCCGGGCGGTGCGCCTGGCCGAGAGCCGCGTGCGGCCCCTCACCACCTACGGGCACCTGCTGCGCGCCTACGGGGAGATGCGCACGGCCACCACCGTCCTCATCATGATCGTCTCCATCATCTGCTGCTGGGGACCCTACTGCATCCTGGGGCTCGCCGCCGCCGCCGGCCACCTGCCCTTCTCTCCCACCATGGACGCCGTGGCCAGCGGGATGGCCTGGGCCAACGGTGCCATCAACCCCCTCATCTACGCCGCCCGCAACCCCAACATCTCCGTGCTGCTGCGGCGCAGCCGGGAGGGGGGCTACAGGACTCGCAACAACATGGTCGCCTACCTGTCGGTCCCGGGCCACCAGCCGGAGCCCCGCAGCCGGGCTGACCGTGTCCGGGAACGCTACATCAATCGGCACAGCGGCCCCCCCGGCAGCGCCCTGTCCTCCTCTAGCCCGGCGAGCGGGGGAGAGGTGGCCATGTGGGCCTGCAAGACTCCTGCTGTGCTCTTCTGTCGGGATGGGCAGCCGGACACCATTTCTGAAGCCACCTTGAAGACCAAAGCAGGCACCATCGACACCAGCCTCTGAAAGGACAGAGGTCCGGGATGGAGGCATTAGGTCCCGGGGCTGTCTCCTTGAGGAAAGGCGGGGAGAGTCCCAGTGCTTGGAGCCCTTTGCAGCCAGACTACCAGGAAACTGGAGAGATGGGACTGCGCACGAGCCATAGTGTGGTTTCTTCTCCATTGTGTGAGCTCTGGTTTGGTGGCCCAGACTGCGAGCAGCGAGAGCTCCACAGGGAAAGGAAGCCTTTTCCTTTCAGCAGGCCTCATGCACTGGTGACAGCCTCCGAGCCCAGCCAACACAAGAGTTTGACTGCAAGAACAAAACAGTGTTTGCTCCAGTCCTGCAGAAAGTGCCACAGTGAAGCTCAGAGGCCAACACACCACTGCAGCCCAAACTGACTGACTGACTGTGTGAGCTGTTTGTTAAGTGCCAAAAAAGCTGTTGAAAGCTGAGCACTGGCAGCTGGAAGGCACTCTGAAAATATCACACTGTGAAAAATGCATCATGGCAGGATAATGTTGCTTTAACCCATTATATGTGGAAGTGCCAATAGTTATAAAGTCATGTAAGACTGTAAGACAGGCTAAAAAAGGGATCTATTAAGGTTATTTTTTTTAAAATTTAAACTCTGAAGCGTAAAAAACCAGTAATTTTGAAAGGGAAGATGTATGATACTGGGAGGGAGGGAAAGGAAGATGAAACCTCAGTTGTCAGAATTTCAGTGGCCTTTTCTGGTTTTTTTGCAGGTATTTTTTTTAAATACTGTGAATATGAGAAACATGAGTTCCTCAGACAGACTGAGGAAAAATGTGTGACCACAGACTGTGGTGTCACTGAGTTTGTGCTCAAAGGTGTGTGTTTTCTTTTTGAACTCACCTGAAGTGTCTCTTGTCTCTAAGCGTTTAACTGTGTTTAGAGAAGCTGTGTGGGAGAGGTATCTGAAAGGAGAGGTAAAGCAATACCATGTGCTCCCTGTGTGCTCTTCAGCATGTGAAAAATCTGTATATGCAGAGAACAGGTATTATTGTATTGATGGCAGCAATCCATTGGAGTATAATATATAAAAACCACCTCTGTTTGGTGTTGAAAAGGAAGGAAAATAACACAATAGAAGTGTATGGCATGAATTTGTATTAATTTATCAGTGTAATCTTTTTGTTCGAAGGCCTAAAGCCTTAAACTAGTATTTTGAATCAGAAACTAAGATTGGGCCTTCCTTTGTTTTTGCCACAGTTAAGTGTGAGAGGTGGGCAGTGTTTTTCCGTGTACAGGCTTTAAAAATACAATGTTTCAGTTTTACCGGATTTTTCAACTGTTTGTGACGCAAGTAAACACACTGTCATTATTTTGTGAGACAAGAAATAAATTGTCTTTTATGCAGGACATGAAAATGTCTCAGCCTGTCATGATTCTCAGGCCAGCCTTGAGAAGGGAACTCCTCTGAAAAATTACCAGATGAATGATAGTAGAGAGACATAGTTGTTTGTGAAATTTTAGTGCAGCTGGTTTCCATGGTCTAAGCATTACTGTAACTTTCTTCTGTGATGCTCCTGAAGTCCACTAGGAAAAGATTTGACCTTTGACTACTCAGCACTGCTACTTTGCCCTGCAGCTACTGGATTTTGCAAGTTGAGCAGTGTTTTCTTGCTGTTTCAGAGAGAAGCTGTGCAGAAGAGCCACGGCTTTTCACAGGAGCTGTTTGACAGCAAGTGAACACTGGTGGCTTGTTGGAAGGGTGGGACAGGAATTTCTGGCATACCTGCCCTTCCTTCCACATGGCTAGTGTAAATGGAAAAAGGTGGTTGTGAATGGCGAGGTTAGATTTAACTCCTACCTAGGTAGTTGCAGGGGGTAACAAGGAGATTGGTGTGGGATAATTTGCCATAGAGACCATGTGGCTAAAAGCCCCTGGAAAGGGGCTTCCCTCAGTGCTTGGCTCTGGCCACCTTTCTTGTCCCTTCTGTCTCCACCACGCCAAATGACTCTTGCTAACTAGCTCAGACACTAAACAACCATTGACTCCCTCTTTTTCATGCTGGTTTAGTTTTCTACTGATTTGATGCCCTGACCAGTGCACCACAGGCCGGGTAAACATCTCTGTGGCCTTTCCTTCTGGCAGGGGCAGGATTGGGGATGTCAGGACTGAGGTCGACCACAAAGTATCAGAGGAGCTGCCCCAGGAGTGGAACTATCACAGCTAAAAGGTGGTAGTGAAGCTGGAAGTAATATTTTAAAACGTTTTTAACAAGCATTTGTCAGTGCCCATATGTTAGTCTTGTATGTGAAGAGTTGAATGAGGACAGCAGGCTGTGAGCTTTGAGCCGTCACAGATTAGCACATTTCTGTGAAACGCTAAATCAGGCTGTATTCTTGACTAGATGCTTTTTGACATGGACCTGCTCCAGTCAGAGAACCAGCTTGTGTTTTAAAGCTGTGCCTGGCCCGTACTTCTCATAATCTTAGAATCATAGGATCATTTTAGTTGAAAAAGACCTCTTAGGCCATTGAGTCCAACTATTACCGCAGTGCTGCCAAGTCCACCACTAACCCAGGTCCCCAAGTGCCACTTCTTTTAAATCCCTCCAGGGATGGCGACTCCACCACTTCCCCCAGCAGCCTGTTCCAGTGCTTGAAATTCTTCTTTCCATGAAGAATTTTTCCATAGTAAACAGTTTAAACCTCTTCTGGTGCAATTTGAGGCATTTTCCTCTTATCCTGTCACTTATTACCTGGGAGAAGAGACCGATGCCCACCTGGCTCCACCCTCCTGTCGGGGAGTTGTAGGGAGTGAGAAGGTCCCCACTGAGCCTCCTTCTTCCCAGGCTGAATCCCATCAGCTCCCTCAACTGCTGTTGAACTAGTGAGGTACACGGGTCTCTACAGCCACATTTTTAAAAGTTTTAAATGTTTTAAAAAACCCAACCAAAGGGTGAGGGGTCTTAAATAAATCACAACCAGCAGAGAGAGACACAAACCACACCAAAGGCTGCAGGTTGCCTGCCAAAATGGTACTTTAAATGCTGCTGTGTCCCAGCTGTGCTGAAGGTTTCTGCCTCTCAGGCAGTGCTACAGAGTGGGCAAGGAGGCCTTTGCCATGCTAGCACACAAACCAGCGTGTCAGTCTGTCCCTGTACCTAAAAATAGCTCCGTGAGAAAGAAACCAGAGGATTAATTCACTGTTTAGCTCTGAAAACTCTGCCCGTGGTCACAGCTGCTTGTTCCCAGGTGAGAAAATATTGCAGGGCGTGGCTCCTGGCCGAGCCACTGTGGGACATCACCTCCACATCTCTCACATGCCCATGTTGGTGTCACCCTGCTTAGAGAGCCCCTTTCTTTGGGCTGAAGAATTCAGAAGACAGCAAGACACTGAGGTTTTAGACACTGTAAAGCTAGCTCTGAGGCTCCAACCCTCCAGCCATGGCTCTTTCCTTTTCTCTCCCTTGAGATGAGCCTGGACAAGGTGCATTGCAATCTCATTTCCACAAGGATATTGGGACACTTTTTTAGTTCAAAATTCATGTGAGTTTGTCAGTGCAGGATGTTTGGCATAAGAGACATAGCAGTTAACATGATTTGAAGACCAGTTCAACCCTGAATAACAGTGACAACATTAGTCAAAGACAAATTAAAAATGAGTCCTTGGGCTCTTAGTCCCTTGTTGACTTTCCAGCATACTGACCATCAGTTTAAGAGTGCCCTATTATTTGACAGTGATACACATGCCACTGATTTAACTAATGCATTATATTTTAGAAGAAAAATATGGTCTTGATGAATGACAAGCATTTTAGAAGGTACTGCTCCAACTGCAGGCAAGTGGTAGTTTTCCTTCTGATTTAATCATTAGATTCATCTAAGTAATTATTTTCCACTCCTTTCCTAGTCTCTGGATGAAGTCTCTGTTCAAAACAAATGCTGTGTGCATAATTTATGAACTGTGAACAATTAGCAGCCCAATTAGCAGTATTTATAAGTGTCAGTCTGATGGGCTGTAATACCTGTCATCAATCAGCAGAACCGGGATAGCTTGGGTGTAAGATCCCCAATTGCTGCTTCCCTTTCAGCACTTGGTGTTGGTTTGTGTATCCAGTAGATGCCAGCAGAGACCTAAGCACAGCTTTTCCACTAATGATTCTAAGAAAAACCTCTTTCTGTTAAATGAGATCAGCCACTCTGCCTTCAGGACTGCTGCATCCCAAATACAAGCATTCAGAGCAAAGGTTGCAGCTGATGCAGTGAAAGCCCTAAGGGCACTCTCCAAAACTGAGTTTGAAGGACAGATTCCACACGTGCAGCTCTTTGCAAGGTTTGTTGTAGAGTCTGAAATAAATAATTTGGAATGCACATCAGAAAAGTTTGATTTTGTGCAACGCTGGCTAATTAACGGCTGTGCTGCACGTGCCCCAGAGCTGCAAAACCTGCAGTTGGAGGCCTGGTGAGATCAGTCCTGATGTTGACAGGGTGCTTAGTTCAGCAGAAGAGCTGCCTCTTCACTCCAGCTGCTTTTGTGTTTTTATATAGTGACTCTGACTGTTAACAATAAATAGTGGGTCCACATTTAGATCCGCTCAGTAGCTGTAACTCTGCAAAGAGTTACAGAGCCACAAGGTAGTAACTAAGCACCAGAAGAATAAAATAGTCCCAAATCCTGCAGGAGGAGTAACCCGCAATGGGATCTAGGCTTAGGTGACCCCATGCTCAGCTGTGCTATGCTGGCTGGATGTGGGAGGACAAGGCTCTATGCATACCATGGCCAGCCCTCTTGCTGTTCCCAATTTGCAGAGGAGCAGTGGTTTCTCACACCATGCTACTGGCAGCACACTGCCTGGGTCTCGAAGCATCTACAATCACCCCAGCTGAACTGCTTAGGGAACAGCTCTGCGTCTCTGGATATTTTTTCCTAGGAAATCACCACTGCAAGAAGCAGGACGAAAAATGACGTGGAGAGGCAGACTGTAAATCCCCCTCAGTGGCGTGAAATGGATGAGTCACTGAGGAAATCAAAGTGAAAGCAGCAGGAACCCCAGGGCCCAACACCAAGGCCTGCGTTAGTCTAGCTGGGGAGTGATGGATGATCTCAGCCAAGAAGACCCCAGGAGGCTGTGACCAGAGCCAGAGGAGATTTGACAAGGGGGCCTCAACAGCAAAAGGAATTCCCACACAGCAGGATGTGTGCTGAGGGTCAGATCCAGCACGGGATTCACTCGCAAAGACCTCCTCCTCTCCAGGCAGCTGTGCCAGAAGGAGGGCAGGTGGTGACACCCTCCAGCACTTCTCTGTCAGGGAATCAAGCCCTGAAGCCTTGCTGGGGCTGTTTGTGCTGGGTGACACAGCACATCGGTGTGCCCACAGGCTTCTGGGGTGATCATGGAAGATGAGCAGGATACAGCCATGATTGACTAGAGGAAGCACATGCACTCTGAGAGGAACCACTTGTTATTTGTGTTATTTCTTGTCTTGCTGGCACTGAGATCCTCCAGGTTCCTCTGCAAAGCCAAGCACTTCCAGAAGCCCACAAAACTGATTGGAGAATATATATATGATACTTGGGATCCTTAATTTTATGCACATATTAGTCCTCCCTTTATAAACTATTTTTAGTCCTATCTCTTGCATAGTCAGATCAGAAGCTAATAAACAAGGGGAACATCTAAAGGGATTCACAAACAGAACAAAGATTTCATTTTTTTTTTAAAGCTTTGCTCAGAACAGAGGATTGCACCTTTCCTTGGTGGGGGGGTTATTTTTGTGTGCACGGAAGAGTTAAAGGTGTTTGCAAACCTCAGTTTGCTCCAGATGTCTGCTTTCCCTTCAGACATGGGGACACCCTCTTCTCCTTGCCACCATGAGGAGAAGCAGAAAGCTGCAGCAGGGGTGACTTTGGGAAGGTCACTTGGGAAGATTATATTCCTCAGTTCCTGGTAGTTCAGGAATGGAAATACTCAGTGCTGATCGGGCTTCCACATCTGGAGGAACATCTCTCTTTCTCCCAGGGGGCAGAGCAAGTCTGACTGAAGGTGGCAGGACTATCTCCACCAACTTCTGTCAGCAGTTCTGATGCACAGGGTGAAACACTTTGCTTACACCTGGGGCTTGACCAGAGGGATTCACTGAGATGTGCACTCTCAGAGCTGCAGGTGAAAATTTTCCCCAGGTTGGGGCTGCACATGGACGCTAGGCTGGCTCCCAGGGGAAGCTGGTGGCCAGCACCAGGCTAGCCCACCCCACCACAGTGCAGGGAAGCTGGGAGGATGCTGGTGCTGCATCTGGTGAGGAACCAAACCCCCTGGATGGGTCCTACAAATTAAAATCCCTCAGGGTCATAGATGTGGACCAAAGCACCAAGATAAATCTCTCTTTAAACTCATCTTGCTCTCCCAGCAATTCCCTGCGACCATGTAAATGTAATTTGCTTACCTGATTTAGCAACACACTCTGAATTAATCTCAGCATCAGGGATAAAAAATGCTCTGAGTAACCAGGTCACTTATTTTTTT